ACTTGGTCCTATTTTCTCTCTGTTCGTATCAGTGCGCGCGACACCATGACCTGACAGCTAGGGCCTACCTGTTTGATTCACGATTGTTTACTACTGGGGAAGATGTCTGACTACGAGAGCGACGAGGAAAACATCGACTTCCACTTAGAGCCAAAGGGATATCTTTATGAACCCGAGTACACTGACGAGGAACTTCGACAAATGGAGTTAGATCGGGCAGAAAGAGAGAGGGTGGACAGAGAAGTGATGGAAGCTCTAAAGCTAGCTCGGTGGCGTTGCTTGTAAACGCAGCTGCTAAGTTAGCACTGAAATGAGCTGGAAAAGTTGAGCTCGCTGTAAGAATGACGGCGCGCACTGATACGAACAGAGAGAAAATAGGACCAAGTGATAACGACGTGTGACTTTTTCCACTACAATGTTTTTGGGATGCAAAAATATCACTCTTTTGAACACATAATGTTTTGGAAAGAGAAACGTTTTATTTCGCTGGGTCTAGCAAACCTGCCGGACTACTTTCGGCTTGACCAAAGCTGGACCAGAACTCTGCTCACAGGATGCTGCCAGGGGTAAGTCAGTGTGATTGCATGACACTGGTGATGGGGATGCCATACAGATTCATGTCAAAAATCCCGAACTATCCCTTTAACAACTACCGCCCTGTAGCACTCACACCAATCATAATCAAGTGCTTTGAGCGGCTGGTCCTGGCACACCTGAAAGACTTGGTAACATTCACATTGGATTCACACCAGTTGGCATACCACAGCAATAGGAGCACAGAGGACACAGATTCCATGGCACTGCACCCTGTGCTCACACATCTGGACAATAAGAACACTTATGCACGCATGCTGTTTGTTCACTTTAGCTCAGCATTCAACACTGTCATTTCTGCAAAGTTATTAGCCAAACTTCAAGACCTGGGCATCAACACCTCAATGTGCAACTGAATTTTGGACTTTCTGACCAACAGACCCCAGAGTGTCCGATCAGGCTCCTACTGCTACACGTCCATCACACTCAACACTGGTGTACCAGTGTTGAGTGTGTGAGTGGTGTACCAGGCTGTGTGCTAAGCCCGTTTTTCTACTCCCTCTTCACCTATGACTGCAAGCCTATGAACACGTCTAATTCCACCATCAAGTTTGCGGACGACACCACAGTGATTGGTCTCATCGGCAACAACGATGAGACTGCTTATAGGGAGGAGATCAAGCACTTGGCCACATGGTGCATTGAAAATAACCAGCTCCTCAACACCACCAAAATAAAGGAGCTCTTCATAGACTTCAGGAAAGACTCAACAGGCACCCATGACACAATCCACATCAATGGAATAGCTTTTGAACGTGTCTCCAGTTTCAAGTTTCTGGGGACCCACATCTCAGCTGACATGCCCTGGTCAACCAACACCTCCTGCCTGGTTAATAAGGCTCACCAGCGCATCTTCTTCCTAAGAACACCGAGGAAGAATCAGCTCCCTTCAACTATCCTGGTGAACTTTTATCACTATGCAATAGAAAGCATCCTAACCAACTGTGAAACAGTGTGGTACAGAAGCTGTTCTGTTGCAGAGCGCATGGCACTGCAGCGGGTGGCCACCCAGCACATCACTGGAACTTCACTACCCACCATTGAGCACATCCAGAAGAAATGCTGCCTACATTGAGCCCGCAGCATTTTTAAGGACTCATCTCACCCAGCCCACAGACTGTTTTCTCTCTTACCCTCCAGCAGGTGTTTCAGGTGCGTCTGGACCAGAACCAGCAGACTAAAGAACAACTTTTTTTTCCCAGAGCTGTCTCTTTACTGAACTCTAACCCTCACGGATAGACTCTACCCTCCTTCCTGACACCTACCACCATTTTGCTATTGTGTTTTTTACAAGACTGTAATCTTCACCTGCACTCCTGCCGGTTACTATTGTAACAACTGTTTACATGCATCTTGCACTACTCACTTTGACTGAATGTTGATTTGCACTGCCGACTCTTTATTCACGTACTTTACTTGTAATATGCAATTACCTTCCACTGCACTTTAATTTAGATAGCTTCTGTCCAAACTTTATTTAATTATTTTAGAGTAAAAGGCATCTGTATATTATGCTATTGTACATAACTGTAAAAACACTTTTTATAGTAATATCCACTTGTATATTATATTCGGTACATATCCAGCTGTAAATTTAGTTCATAACACTAGTTATCTATATATTATATTCATCTATTAGTAAGATTCTGTTTATAATGGTATTCGTCTCTATACTTATTCAGTAGAACCCATTTCCTGTATTTATAGAACCATTATTTATCCTGCACTTGCTACTATTGCACTTCTGGTTAGACCTAAACTGCATTTCGTTGCCTTGTACCTGTACCTGCGCAATGACAATAGAGTTGAATCTAATCTAATCCGAACTTTAGTTTTCTATAGTGTCTTTAAGCTGATACGAGGGGGTTTATCTTTCCAAAGAAATTTATGGATGGAAAAATCTAGTCGCATGATGGTTTATTTGGGATCATTGAAAACAAGTAGTTAATTCTAGGTAAGACCATAATTTTAATTGAGACTACCCTACCCATAAGTGAGATTGGAAGCAATTTCCATCTTTCTAGGTCCTCTTCTATCGTTTTTAAAAGCGGGATGTGGTTAAGTTTTGGTAAATCAGCTAATTTATACAGTAATTCCCAAATATTTGATATTTCTTCATTGCAGTTGTAAATCTAGGGGGTTCTGTAGAGAGCGATTAATTGGTATAACTATAAATTTAGACCAATTTATAGAGTAATCTGAGACTTCTTAGAGAGTTTCTAGTAATCTAATTAATTGAGAAAGTGAAGTGTTTCAGTGCTGGAGATAAAATAATACATCATCTGCGCAAAGACTAATTTTATGTTCTATTTTCATGCATTTTATACCTTTAACAACATTAGTTTGTCCAATTGTTGTTGCTAGAGGCTCAATAAAAATGGCAAAAAGGGAGGGGGATGGCGGGTATCCCTGCCTGGTACCCCTCCGGAGACAAAAGCTGGAAGATGTTTGATTATTTGTCCTGACACCTGCTGTTGGGAAGCTGGAAGATTTTTAACCAATTTATAAAGAAATTGCCAAAACCAAATTTATGTAGACTAGTTTATAAAAATTTCCGGTTTACTCTATCAAATTCCTTTTCTTCACTTAAAGACAATATGTTGGATTTAATATTCTTACTGTAGGAATAATCTATTAAATTAAGAAATCTGCGTGTGTTATTGGCTGACTCCCTTTTTCTAATAAAGAGCAAGAAGGGTGTTAATGAGGCATCAGAGTGGTGGGAGATTGTAACCGATGACAGTTACAACCTCTCGTGAGTAAAAAGAATCTAACGTCTGTTGTACTTCTTCCCCCGGTTATTTAATAAGTGGTTGGGTGTTTAAACCTAACAGAAGGATGTGACAATATTTTCGCAGCACCAGTTCCTGTGCTTGGAGCAGACAGACAACAGAGAATCAATAAAGCACCAGCAGTGAAAACTAAACAAAACCAAAAAGTCCAGAGTGGCAGATCATAACAGGATAATTGAGCACCATTAGATGGAAAATTCAGAAACTGTGAAAAATATGTTCTTTAAAAATGGTTTGTGGCCATCAAAATCCTTTAGTGTGATTTTATGGGTCAAATTGTTATAAAAAAGCAATTAGCACAATTTAGAAGAATTTTGGACATTTGGAGAGGTTTGGAGATGCTGATGACACCAGAAGTTAAAACATCGATATGTCTGGCCCATACCTGATGTCTAACACTTCTTTGTTACTGCTATTCATTAAGGATTTATTATTTTCACTATGAGTCATGTTTTAACTGATGCAGTTTAGGCTGTGTTTTACTCCCACTCACACTATTTAGATTCTCAGAAACTAAAAGGCGTTAGCTTTCAAGTGATCAGACATGTAATTTGGCCTTGGTAAAAATGCAGGGAATATGGATGAATGTTAAGAAGCCTTTTAAATGTAGACATGACATTGTTGTGTTTGGACCAAAAACTTTGGAAATAATCTACATAGTAAGTCAGGTAATAATTTAAAATCTTAAAACAAAACTATCCTGTCCTTGAGGTGAGCAAAGAGTGGTCAGTTTATTACTTCAAAGCAACACTTTTGTAATTTTTTACTATTATGCAGTCAACAAAATGTTCAAAGTCTGGTGATCAAAAACGCTCCAGACAGTATTCTGGTGAAAATTGTAATATCAGATCATATTTCTCCATTTCTAACTTTCCATCAATGGTTTCTGTTAAAGGTATTAAATCTGATTTCTCTGACATTTTGCAGTTTGTTCATGTTAATATTAAACCTTCTTGGCAGTACAGGGTTCCTTGTGGAGTACCACGGGGTTAAGTGTTGTTTAATATAGAAATGCGTTCAAACTGTCAGTTTATTTAAATTCCATTACATTTCCAATATTGAACTTGTCTGAAATCTGTTTAATTGAAATCAGAAATCAAATGTTTCTAATGTAAGGGGTTAGGGTAAAGGAGTAAACAGAAAGCAGATCATATTGGATTGCAAGTGACTGACTCTAAATCTGTCTGAATGATTATTAAAATCGACTTTATGTTTCTGCCCATAAAGAGCATGTATTGTTGTAAAGTTCCTAGTGGTGATTCTGGTTCTGAATCAGCTGTTTATCAAAAAGCAGAAACGAATCCGAAGTCTAGTTAAATATTAAATTGGTTTATTTTGTATCAAACCCAACTTGACTTGATTTCTCATCAAACTAACTGAAATATTCTGGTTCTGATTTAATCAAAAAAGAGCTGCGGCCTGGATTATAGGCAACTTTTTATATAGACATTCAGGTTAAGAAAAAATAAATAAGACAGAATCTGAAGCTTAAGTTTTACTTCTCTGGTGAAGTTTCTACTTTTGTAAAGTGAAACTAAGTTCCAACCATTCCCACAATGTTTGAACTGGTGTGTTTCCATTCCAACAGCCTCTCTGACGTTCTGCAACTACGTCCAAACATATAAAAGTGGCTTTGAGTTGAGAATCAGAACTTTCTTGGACAACCTTTCATGAGAAACATTCAAATCCTGAAACATTCAAACTCATTCACACTAAAAACAGCTGGAACATGAAGTAATTGATGGAATAATGAGAAATATTTGAAAACCTAACATAATATTATTATCCCATTGTGTTTATAGGACTTTGTTCATTTTGTTCTGGTTCTTTTCAGGTTGACTCTTCTACACACTCACTGTCCTCTGCTTTATTTTTCTCTCCTGCTTTGGCACTTTTAATTTGGTATTTTCAAAGTAAAATCATTGAGTGAAACATAAAACCTGAAGGTTGTATTTCTTGATATACATCACTTTTAATTAAGCTTACACATTTATTTTGTTTCTTAACTTTTTATTTGGCTCAAAAATATTTTAATCTAGATAAGTTCCCAGTTGTAGATATTTTCCCCACCTTTGTTGGATCATAATTTCTGCTCTCATCATAATGTCTTGCCTCTTTTTAAATTTATTTTCTCATCTTAAGAATATATCATATAATTCATTTCAAAGAATTTAAAAGCAAATTAAAATCCCATATCTAATCAATCTTCTTTCTTGTACTTTATTTGATTTTCTCATCAGTTCTACAGAGGCCTTGGAATCCAAACTGAACGCCTTGCAGTGCTACTTTACCTGGAATCTAGAACCTACCAAGTTCAAACTGAACTATCTCAGAGATGCACTGGAGGACATCGCCACAGATGAGGGAAACATCTGGCTGGGTGACATCTACAACCTGCAGGGGTTCATCCAGTACATGCTGGGCTCCACTGAAGAGGCCCTGAAGTTCTTCAGACGAGCCACTGAGACCTTCCAGCGTCTTAAAAACTCAGATGAAGGTCCCTGGTTGATGGTGAACTTTGGGAATCTGGCTTGGCTGCACCATCTTATGGGTGAAGATGAGAAGAGTCAGGATTACCTGTCAAAGGTTGAAGCTCTGATTAGAGAATACCCAGCTCCACCTGAGGAAGAGCTCCACCCAGAGGTCTGTGCTGAGAAGGCCTGGACCCTGATGAAGTTTGACAAAGAGAAGAAGTTGCAGGCTGCAGAGCTCTTTCAGAGAGCAGTGAGGATGCAGCCAGACAACGTGGAATGGCAGACCAGCTGGGCCATATTATCAGCAGATCCCTTCAAAGCTTACATGAAGGACATGACTCCTGATGTCTTGGAAAAAGTGAAATCTGCCTCAGAAAGAGATCCAGACAACTTATATGTTGCTGCTCTTTATCTGGATGCACAGGGTGCAAAGAGAAAACAAATTCAGGATGAAGCAAATGATTTAGCTATAAGAATTCTAGAAAAGCCAATGCACAACTACTGTGGGATCAGCCTACTAATGAAGCTGTATAGAAAGTACATATCTGTAGACGAAGCCATTGAAATAGCTGATGAGGTCTTGAAGAGACATCTTGATTCACGTTTTGTAAAGAGGTCTGCTGCAAAATGCTGCACAAAGAAGGTATTTTCTCAGCGAGGCAATCCTGATCCCAGAATAATTGACAAAACAATCCGTCTGTGGGAAGAAGTGATTGATGCTTATCCTGATTGTTCCCTGAAAGAAAAAATATCTCAAGCAGACGTCTATTCAAAGGTAGACATAGAGAAAGCTGACCAGATTTACAGAGAGCTTCTAGACAGAGAAGATCTGGATCCAGCAGAAAAACAGATGCTTTACAAATATTATGCCGACCATTTATACTTCAATAGGAATAATACATATAGGTCTATTGAATACCACATGATGGCAGTAGAGATTCAAGAAGAATCCGTTTATAGACAGTTAAGCATCGATAAACTGAAGAAGACCTTAGAAAGAACCAGGGACCCTAAAATACAGAGAAGGATCACAGAGTTCCTGACATCCCTGGGAATAAACCAGTGAATAAACCTCAAACCGTCTGAAATCCTAATGATGATCATAGAAAATAATAGTGATGTTTTGTAACAGACATGACTCTGACCATGAGTGACACTGGCCACTGGCTACTAATACAAAAAAAATGTAAACAGCGAAAAATACATCAAAATAGCTAAGGAAGACACTGAAGTGCCAAATGAAGTAAGTTAATTCAGCTTTGATGCATTTTCCTTGATCTGGTAAAAAGTTATATTAATATAGTAACAGAAAAGGGAAATGACATGTGAAACCTATAATTTTTCCTGCAATAATATGTTTCTTTAAACTCCCAGACCACTCAGCTCCTCTAGTTCAACCCTTCTCTTTAAACAGATGCCCTCTACTGAATGTTGCTCTTTTATGGAGGTAAATTCAAACCGTATGAAGTGTTCAAAGGTCAGAAAGGATGCAGAAGGATTTTGATTTATAAAAAACTTTTCCTCTCCCTCTTAATTTAAGAAAATAGTTTTATTTATTCAGATTAGGAAATATAGGTACGCAAATTGTATTTTGTGATAGGGCTGTGTTATAAAAAAAATAAAAAATTCCAATTCTGATTCCATTTTATTATTAATTCCTAAAGATCAATTCATATAACGAAAGATTGTTCATGTTTCTCATCAGCGTTTCTCAGCAGCAGTCTGCTGGTAATGTTGGAACATAACTCCTTGTTTGCATATTTCATGAGACAAGCGCTATGAAAACATGAACGTTGTGCTTTTCAGACTATGTCATCAACTTAGACTTACTCTGGGTCTGCTTGCAGGTAAGTGAACATATGCGCTCCCACCCCATCAGCAGAGGGGAAATGTCAGGATTCCTAAAGAATCCCAAATGGGTGTTTTGTCAAACCAAAAGTGCAGATGGTCTGTTTTTTTATTCTGTCACATAAAATGCATTTACGTGAAGCTCACCCACTTTGACAACAGGCGGACATCTCAAATGGTCAATCTGATAGTTCTCAATATAGAGAAAAGTTGGAAACAAAAATTGGCTTAATTAGGAATGAGGAAAAACAGAAAGCTGATATGGGTGCAGCACAACATCCACACTCACAAAATATCCTGGTGAGAACCGTATTATTTTAAAAAAGTGAAAAGAAAGCATTTTGCACTGTCCTTAATTTCCTGATGAAATTTGATAAAATTTGATAAAATGAATAACTAATAAATTTGCATAACAGCTAAAAAACTGTTTTTACTTTCAGCAATCAGATTTATCATGCAACAAGATGTAAAATAATCATTCTAAAACTTGAAAATGGGCATTGAATCGATTCTTGATATGTAAAAATGACCCAGCCCAGCCAAGGTGTTTCTCAGGTTCACACATTAAAAAAATGTATAAAAAGAATTGCCTTGAAATAAATTATTAACATCTTCCTACAAAACAAACTTATTGTATTCACTTTTCTTAACTCTAAATCAAATCACTAAAAGTAACAGCACAGTTTCTCTTTTAAAAGTGAGGCTGATCCTGCCTACTGGGAAAACATCTCCATTAAAAATGTGTTTTTCCAGAATCCTAGTTTCCTAGATTAATGTATTTTCACTCCACAACAAACTAAATTCTAAATAACATATGATATATATCAGAGGACATAGTGATGCTAAATTAAAACTTATATCTAATTCATTTATCAACATGCACGAAATTACGGAGACCAATACCAAACAAAAATCAGATAGATTATTGAGTCCTAGGATGTTAATTTCATGCTTGTTGTGAGAGATTGCTGCAGAGTCAAAGATTCGATGCAAGCAAATGTCTGCTGTTGCAAGATGCTCATCCAAAAGGACCAAATCCTGCAAGGTCAGCGACTGGATGCAGTCAGCTGGTTTTCTTTGATAAAATACCTTTTGACCGATCTGGCTGTATGATTTCATCATTGTCTCTGTAAAGGGCACTGTAATTACGTGTGTTGTGAATTTGCACACTGTAAAAAAACTGATTTGAACTGTTAAAGTTTAAGTTAAGGAAAACTACACATAACATGTTGCTTTAAATTCACGCTGTTGTTTTTTTTTTATCTGTGAGGAATATGGAGCTAAATCAATGAAGTTATAAGTCAATTATACCTCAATTTAAGCAGCTTTTATTAATATTCGCAAGTAAAGTTGTATCACAATAAAAAACTAGGCTAATTGACTAATTAATACAAAATGATCGCTATACCTCATGTGCCATAAAAAAACAAAATAAAAAAGGGGTATATATATATATATACCCCTTTTTTATTTTGTGTGAAATCGACTCCAGAGTTTCTAGAGGAGATTCTAGAACAGAGCTGGCCTTGTTTATTAGCTTGTTGAGCTTTTTTAAGTCATTAACTCTAATACTGTCACCCCAGCAGAGGATGGAAGAAGAGATCAGAATCTCCACAACATACTAGATATGTAGCATCCTGCTGCAACGCAGAAGGACCTAAATTTCCTTAGGAAGTACAGCCTGCTCTGTCCCTTCTTGTAGACGGCTTCACGGTTTTGTCTCCAGTCTATGTGGTTGTCCAGGTGAACACCAAGGTATTTATACTCCTCCACCACCTCAACTTCTTTTCCAATTAGGTGAAAAAACAATAAATATAATAAGTGCTAAAGACCTTATGTTTTAAGCTTTTATTTCCAGTAAAAAAGATAGTAAGCTTAAAGGAGATGAAACAATTAAATGTCAGATTAGATTACTACCCCAGACTGCTTAAAGAATATTTTTCATTTAAAATATGAACTTTATAAAGAATATTTAACACCAGTTACAACAGTTAGATTACCTTATTACCCAAACATAATTATTCTAACAAATGTATCATCAAACAAAACCTTTTCTCTGCCTATCCCTAATCTGGTTAAACTGGTTTACCATATGATGAAGAACATTCCTAGCATTTAATATCATGCTTGATTGGTAATTGATTATATGAGTTTTGTTGTCTCCTGTCCAATTGGTTTAAAGCTTAAGTTTCTTTTCTCTTGAAATCCAGAGGAAGAAGAGAAACTGAAAATCAGAGTCAGAAATTATGGATACTTACTGTGAAAATATACAATCAACCTCAGTGAAGTAAATCCTTTACTGCTAAAACTAACAGAGGTAAAATTTGTGGTAGAGGTATTTGACATATTTGTCCCACAGCGTCAACAAATCCCATATTTATACAATTAAAAACCCAGAAATAAAACTAATTGTTAGAAAATAACGTTCTAAAAACCATAACAAAAACTCATCAGGAAAAAAACAATGATCTAAAATGCAGAACAGATTAACTAAGAGAAAAATAAATATGCATTGTAACTGAACAGATTTTTATTTTTTTTTTTAACCAAACATTGGTACAGAACAAGTTAAAAAGAAAGATTTATCTCAGTCAAAGATGTCAGTCTATGTAAAAGCCTCAACAACAGAATGAAAAACCTCCAAGTTCCTTTATGGGCTTGGATGTCCAACACCTGATGGTGTTTTTCGGGAAACACAACAACATCTGTAGGAGGAAAAGCGATGTTTATCTGGTACAGATAGGAGTGTGCTGACATTTATATTTGAGAAATCAAGTAACTGCATTAATTCATTGTACAGCATAGGAGAGCCATCAACACAGAGCAGATAGTTCACCTGCATCTTAAAAAGCCCCTTAAACAGTTTCTTAAAAGTTCCCAGTCATGCACTCACTAATTTTATTGTTGTAATGTCATTGTCTGAACGTGTGTCTATGTGTTTTGATGGATATTGCATTATGTGATCTTGTGTTGTTTTGTCTTCCTGCCTCAGGACGACAGATGTAAATTAGCAACTATACTATAATCTGGCTTATTTACAATCTGTACAGAAGTATAAGATTGTTCATTAATGTGCTCTGTCCTAATTAAATAAATTAATTAATAAAATTAAATTAAAAGCAAAAGACACCGCTTTCATGGTGAGGATGTTCAAATCTAAGAAGAGGACAGGTAGTTTGAAAAAAGAGTAAAGAAAGCAAAGTCTGTCAAAAATAAATACTGAAACTCAACAGAAGAGGACTTCTTACTTTTACCTCTAACACATATTTTCTTCTAGAGAAACTCATTCAAAGAAGATTAAAAGTCTGTTTCTCTACCTCACTGTTCCACATCTACCTAAAGGATGTGAACAAAGAACTGTTGAAGCACAGCCCTGGCAAGGAGTGTGCATTACTTCCACATGCCCTTATGTGTACCATTTACTTTCAAAATTAAATCAGCTTATAGATTTACAAACAAGCAGCTGTTGATATTATCATAATTTCTTGTGCTTGTCAGCTGAATATAAATGTTTAAATTCATACACTCATGGCTTTTGGTTCTGGTAATTTGAACCTATCTAGATGTCAAATTTAGAACTTTTTATTGATGTTTGAAAGGCCTGAAATTTGCATATAGATCTCTCTAGTCTAACAGAGACAGAAAATTAACAAAAGGATTGTTACCTCCCTAGTCAGAGTGGTTTTGGTCACATGCCTCTTTAAAGGGTGAGTCAGTTGAGGGCAGGTGAGAGGTGAATCATGTCAAGGAAAACAGCAAACTAAACACTGAACAAAAAGAGATGGCTAAGGCTCAGGTTTTAATGTGACTAATTAAGTGTGCTATATTTTATCACTTTGACATGACAGCTGGCTTAGAGCTTGTCTGATTAACTATGTATCCCCTGTCGAAGTTGGCAGAGGGCGCCTCACATAAAGCCTGGTTGTGGTTCTGCTGTAGGTTTCTTCCTGTTAAAAGGGAGCTTTTTCTGTCCACTGTCACCGCATGCCAAATTGGTTAATTGCTGTGGAGATTGTGAGTTGATGCAATCAGCTTTTTACTTGGAAGCCAATCTGACTGCATGATCTGATTGAATTGTCTCCGTAAAGTGCTCTGAGATTACATATTGTGAATTGAGTTGAATTTATTTTTATGTGTATTTACCTGCTTACTTACTTAATGAAGCCTGGGAGGAAGTTAAACTGAATAAGCTTTTTCACTTATCCTCCTCTAATCAGAGGCTCATTTGTCTTTGGAGCAACCAATTATCATTCAACCACATCTCCTTGTAACCCAATCAGCATCCAGCTTAAAATTCCTTTAAACCAGCAGCTCAATCTGCTAACCAGCAAGCATCTGAGTTGGTTTTGCATGTAAGACTTTGATTGGGATAACCCCGATTCCAACCTCCTCCATCCTCTTCTCAACTATCCTTGCAAGCTCCATCGAGCTCCTTCTCTATGCTTCTTGCCCCTTTTAGAGTAAATCCTTGGACTC